TAGTGAAAACATTTTTATACCGATTAGAATGCATATAATATAACATAACATCAAAGATTAGTTGCTTTTAATCTATATAGAAAAGTTTGACTATATACATGTATACCAAGAATCTATCAAGACTATTTTGGACTTGTCTATAAGTGTAATCAACTTTTTTCCTATTATAATGGAATCATTGTGAAGCGATAGTCTATCGAAGATCATTTTTTTGCTTGCTCAAGAATTGAAATAGAAATAACAGTGCATACACACCATCATTTTCAAATTCACTTAGGAAATTATATGAAGTATGTTATTGTATATTGTACAAAAATATTTTATTTTTTAGGTCCCTATCATTGAATTTAAATAATCTATTTTTTTTCATATAATTAGACTCCATATAGTCCATAGATGAATCTTCTGCCAAACAAATTATTTTAAGAAGGAAAAAAATAACATAAAGAACCAAGAAAAAGTAGCAGCCACCAAAAGGAAGGTTCACATGAATACTCTAACACAACCCACCAAACAAAACATCATATTTATTTTTTATGTATAAACAATTAAGTAAACAAAGTTGTTTTGATTAGGACATGAATAATGATGATGATGTATATATCATGACTTTTCTTCTACATTTCCAAAAAAAATAAAAAAATATAGTATTATTTTAAATTTGATTAAAGAAAACCTGGATAAAACTCTCAAAATTTCAACTGTGCTGCATAAATTGGGACGACGGAATGAGCTTTTTTAATTTGGAACCTTAGAAGAAAAGGCACGAAATTGAATCTGTTAAAGGGATGGCCTACTTAGAAACAAATTGGAGGGACACAATTGCTATTTTTGCAGTATATATGTTGGAATTATGCTTTTGTATTTTTAAATATGTCAATTTTAAAATACAATGAGACACTGGACCATTAAGTAAATTGGTTGTATTTACCTAACTTTATACTTTAATGTTTTTGGGCTGCTCAAATTAATAATGGATTAGGTGGAAATATTAAGTTTAAGCAAAGATCTTATATTGGATTTATGTGAATAGAAACATTTTTATTTAGGAAAAATCCTTTTGGCCAGAATTTGGCTAGAATGGTATTTTTCCTGTGTTATTTTACCTTTTCGAACATTTTTATTTTTTTTAAACTTTAATACCTTTTAATTAAAAAATGAAAAAAAGATTAGTTTATATTAAAATATAAAAAATTATACACTTTTTAAATTTCTGGCCATTTAGCATTACTCTTTTATTTATATCCCATTGCCTTAGATTCTGGAATTATAAGGATTTTAGAATAGAAAACAAAAATAGTAGTATAAAAGTTAGCATTTATCTTATTTCTAACTTGCAAAAGAATGATCTTGGATATGGATGGATGGTTTTGACCTTTTGACCTCGTTTATACTTCAAGTTTTGACTTTTGATCTTGAAGGTTTGCTCGTGAGACAAATGAGGAATAAAAGTTCAAAACCAATTATTTCCAAGGTCACTGGATGTAATTTAGGCTCCATTGTCCCTTACTGTTCTCGCTCAGTTTTTCAACGGCTTGATTTGGAATTTTACTTTGATTTTTGCTAAATTCACCCACCACATCCTTTATGATAGATTTGCAATTCTTCATAGGTAGACATGGTAGAAAAAACGTTTGAATAATTCACTCGACCGTCTAAAGTTTAAAGAGAAAGGGAAACGACTCTAATTGTTGAGTACCCATACCATATCGACTTCTATTTTGTAGCGAATCTTACTTACATCAATTCTAGCATTTTGTCTTGATATTATATCCTCTTCTTCATTTTAACTTTTTAGTTTTTTTTTCCTTTTTAAAATTATTCAACTTTTATTTTTCGTAGGGAGGAATTTATTTTGCATGAATTAGGTATAAGTTTTTTTTTTTTTGATTTCTCACCAGATGTCCGGTACCCACAAAGAAGTCCGACTAAATCTAAATTCGCGCCGAGAGACCCCATATTGAGGGTAAAACGCTCCCTAATAAAAGCGACTTTGTACCAAAAATGACTTGAACCCGAAACCTCTAATGGATTAGGTATAAGTTATTATTTGATGGACAAGTTGACATTGTGGGAGAAGTGGACATTGTTGGACGTTGGGCCAAAGTAACAAATCAAGGAGATTTGCACCAGTAGCCATTTTATGGTGCTATTTAAAACATAGTCACAATTTAGAAATTAGTTTAAAATATAATCACTTCTTACTCGAAGTCATTCATAGTCTAGCAACTCATGGTACCTCATGTTCTTATAATAACAATTATTGATCATTCTTCCAAAGACTTTGGGTTCGAATTTCGCCGTGATATTCTCTATTTGTACACCACTATTTAATATATAATTGCTTCTTTAAGAAATTATACATTAATTTGTGCATGAAGTTAAAAAAAAAAAAGTGGTTCTTCAGACGTGTTGTACACGTTTACAACACGTCTGAAGATACATATGGCTAAAATTCAAATATTTGTGCATGAAGTTTAGAAAAAATGGCTTTTCAGACAACATGTCCGAAATAACTGAACTTCAACCATATGCGCATTAACTTCAAAGAGAAGTACCTAAATTCCAAGCAATTACCTTTTACCAACTGAATCAAGATATCACCAATATTCTCACTATTTCTTGGTAAATAACCAAGAATAGTGAAGTTATAAACACTTTCATGAACCTCAATACTATACTCAAAGACACGCAAAGGGTAGCGGCCGCAGGATTCTACTAGCAGAAAGGAAATATGGACAAGAAGTTACAAGATAGAACAAGGAAGAAATAGATCACTTGTTCTATTCCTTCTCATTAATATTCTCACACAAGAAACCAATAATCAACTGGAAACCAGCTCGAAAACACATTCTAACACGATTAACAGGATATAACAAACAAACAAACAAACAAACTTTTCGGATTCTAATTTCCAGGCATGCCTATAGAGAAGAGACTCTCATAATAAAAACCACACCACTCAAACTCTACCTTATTTAAACTCTGCAATTCTTTGAACTTTTGGGTATCAGTTTCATAACAAAAGAGATTACCTTTTAAGGACTGAATCAAGATATCTCCGGTACTCTCGTTATTTCTTGGTAAATAACCAAGAATAGTGTAGTTATAAGCACTCTGAGGAACCTCAACGCTATACTCTAGACACCATGCTTCACTCACACGGTCCTTCAACATCCAAGCATTTAACATATCAGCATCTGTTTTATTGTGAACAAAACATAGATGTCCATTTATCTCAGCCAAATGTGAAAACCCAAAGTTATAGCCATTTGGACAACAGAGGGTATTTACTTCCTCATTTTCCAAGTTCATTTCAAGAATTGTCATACGATCGCTGCTAAAGGTATTATCTTTTGCAAAGGCTAGCCAATAAACGAACTCGTTGATGTGGACTGGTTGATGACATGTTCCAGAATATTGTGTGCAACTCAACAACAAGTCTCTCCATGATCCTACTACACTTGTTTCTTCTAACTTAAGGGTTAAGATATTGAAAGACAAAAGTTCTTCATAATCGGACTCGAGGTTCCAATCATCAGAATTGTCCACTCTCCCCTCGAATGATACTACAATTTTGTACTCATTTGTTGAAGAGACATAGCCTAAACAAGCTTTACCAGCAAATTCAGAAAGAATGATCAGCCATGACTTTATTGACTTGTGTTCTTCTTCATATCTCATGTGAGACGAGTTCGATCATTCTTGAAGATTGAAGGGAATTCTCTCAGCTCCCTAATCAACCTTTTCTTTTGTATCAGAATTGTAAGATATAAATCAGTAATAGAAACAATAATTGTACCTGTTAACAACAGCGGGAGTTTGTAGAGCGATCACCATGAAGAGAAAATTGCCCAAGTCAAGTGATTCACTAGAAAACAAAGTTGGTATCCACTAACTATAAATGTCTTTTTGTATGTCAATATGAAAAAACCTGAGACTTTTTTCATAAATGATCAATTTATGAAGTTGACTTTAAAAGGAGAATATGACAGATAACCAGTTGAGTGGCAAAAAAGTCAGCAAGTAGCTTGCATCATATGATTAAATTATATATATATATATATATATATATATAATAGAAGAATCAATGGATGACCAGGACGTTTAACAAGGCATTGCTGATGGAACTTTGAAAAGTTTTGCCTTCTATATAGTTTCTTACATGTATTTGTTTGATTGGTAAAAGATCAATTTGTTTCCAAGAAGAACACATTAGTCCATTTGAAATTCATCATAGGAAGCTACATCAATAATATTAAATGGCAATTTACTCCTTTCATTTCAAATTTTGGTCCATGTTTGAAAAATGGCAACATACTAAAGCTCTATTCATTGTGAATCAAAGTACTACTTACACAGTTACACTATCAAGGATAGAATTGGAATCGTCACCTAACACGTTAACTAGGTTTATTAGGACATCTGTAACTAATTTCTATGCTAAACCACATAACGTCTAGAAAAACTAAAGCAACGTTATTCCCATAAAAATGAGAATTAGTTTCACATATGAACATTTAACTTAATTCACAAAACAGTAAAGTCAGAAAACCAACTTTTTTTATCAGATTAAAGTAACTAAACTTTATCCTTTATTACAGAAGTGGAAATTGACAACATTAAACACAAATCACAACAGAAAATGAAACCCTTTACAGTAAATTCAACATATAATTGGCAATATTTTCTAAAAATGTTGTTTCTGTCTCAGTCAATTTTCCTATTTCTTGAAATTTCCTATGCACATGCATGATTTACTATCCATCTATAGTTCGTTATCTATTTATAGTCACTGAGATATTTAATGGGAATAGGTCCATAGTATCATGAATGCAAAAGCATTACCTCACATAATGCCATAGAGAAAATGAGAAATGTTTAATATAATAGTAATTTGGTATTTTTATTTCCTTTTCATACGTAAATAAATAGCCTGTAACATTATAGTTAGTGCACTTGAATTCTACTAGCAAAAAGGGAAAAATGGTACGAAAATTGTTTAGGTCATTTTCAGGACAAGTAGTTGTAGAAGAAAGCAGAAGGGTAGTTGACTAGCTTCTCACCTATTTTCCTAATCACAAAGACAGTTATATTGTAAGAACCTTCACAAATTATCACCTTGAACAACTTCAATTTACCTGCAAACCACTTGTTCAATGTTTTATCATTAATATTAGTTACTGCTCCTCACACAAGAAACCAAGAATCAACATGGAAACCACCTCAAAAATCACTCAGAAATGGATGTTATGTGCATTCGGGAGCTTCATTAGCTGCTTCATTTTCTTGCTATACTTAAAGCACAACAATGAGGCAGTAAATTTCAGGGCTCTGCGACATGCCATGTTCAATATGGCCTCGTCTCTAGACGATAGCTTTTCCCCTCATGGAAATTTAGAAATCTCGAAACCAGCAAGAAGAAGAGAAGATGAAGGGGATATAATACAGAAAAACAGTAGGAATAAGTGCAACATATTTGAGGGAAGATGGATTTATCAATCAACGGAAAGCCCATATTATGAAGCATCACAATGTCCATTCCTGAGTGAACAAGTGAGCTGCCAGAAGAATGGAAGGCCTGATTTTGACTATGAAAATTGGTCTTGGGAAGCTCATGATTGTGTGATCCCACGGTAGGAAAATTGTTTCTTCATTTTCTTGTTTCACACTTTTCTTTATTTTGGATTTAACCGACAGTGTGAAGGATTTTGCATGATCAGCATATAGAAAGTTAAACTCTTTCTCTTTTGTTATGAGCAAATTTCAGCTTCAATGGCAGAGATATGTTGAGGAGGCTTAGAGGCAAGAGGGTCATCATAGTTGGAGATTCACTAAACAGGAACCAATGGGAATCTCTTGCGTGTCTTCTTTATTCTACAATTCCTCCTTCAAGAACCCATCTTGATCTTAGCAGTGGCTACTATAAAGTCTTCAAAGCTAAGGTAAATCAACTTAGGGACTTACTTTTTCCAATGCAAGTACCCTCACAGGCACCGGCGCCCCTGATGCAATAACGCATGGTAAAACAGCACTGGTGCAATAATGCATAGTCACATGGACACGTCCACTGCACCCCTTGAATACCATGAATTTTATTTTTGCGCACTTTCCGACATGTCTGATGTTATCATACATGTGATTTGAAATCACTCTTTGTTTTGAACGTTCATACTCATATAAAGTCAATTTTTGGTTTTTCTAGGACTACAATGTTACTGTAGAGTTCTACTGGAACCCGTTTCTTGTCCAGTTCGACTCAATAAATGCTCCTAAAGTATTAAGGCTGGAGAAACTGGATTTGTCGTCTCAGCATTGGCAAGGAGCTGACATTATGGTATTCAACACAGGACATTGGTGGGTGCATCGTGGGAAGTTCAAGGCGTAAGTTCACTAATGAACTTTCTTAAAAGTTATATAACATCTCTACGCTGATAAAGAATTTTCAAACTATCAGATGAATATATGCACTGTCTGTAAAAAGTGAGATTAGTAAACTAACCGAAAAAATAAGACATGTTACTTGGTGCAACATGTTAAAATAAATAAACTTTGCATGCAGGTGGGACTTGTTCGAGTACAAGGGACGATTAGTTGATGAGCTGAAGCTAGAATCAGCATTTGAGGTGGCAATGAGAACCTGGGCAAATTGGATAGATCAGAATGTTAACTTGACAAAAACAACAGTTTTCTTCAGAAGCATTTCCCCAGAACACAAAGGTCAAAACGGATGCTACAATAAAACACAGCCAATCACAGATATGTCCTATGTAACACATTTTTCCGAGTCCCTGACAAAGATTGTTGATAGAACATTGTCAAAAATGAAAGTCCCTGTAAGATACTTAAACATCACTAAGCTCTCACAGCACCGCGTCGATGCACATCCATCAGTCTATGCCAAAAAGAAAGGACAAGAACTGATAAAGAGGAAACTAAAGCCACCCCAGAGTATTTCTGATTGCAGCCATTGGTGCCTGCCTGGAATGCCCGATACATGGAATAGGTTACTATATGCATCTCTGCTTTTGGATCACCCCATTGATTCCCCTAGTCTATCACATTTGGTCTCTTGAAAATCAGAGATTTACCATCAGTAGGCTATATTAGTTGTTGTATTAGTGTGGATAGTGGTGGCAATTTCAACCCATATTTTCTTAACCCGCCCGTCATAAACCCATTTGGGTTAACCCATTTTCAACCCGCAATATAATGGATCAAATGTGATTTCATATTTCTATTGGATTCCTCCTGCTAGCCTAAGCGAGATATCTACTGAGGGAACTTTTGAACTTTCATATGAGTGTATAACTGTGTATGTTGATTGTTTCCTTTCTTTTCACATTGACCTCACAATGCATTTATGGAGGACAAATATTTTTACTTGTTTATGTTGTTCCAATTAATTCCATAACATTTTACATAGTTCACATTTTTTTCTGAAAACATCTTCTGATGATATTAAGAATACTCTCTCCGTTTTAATTTGTTTGTCTTGCTATCTTTTTTAGTCCATTCCAAGAAAGAATGTCAGTTTCCTTTTTTTAGCAACTCTTTAATTTCAACTTTTCACATGACATGTTTAAGACCACAAAATTGAAGGATATTTGGTATATTCTACACATCTTTAGTTTAAGACCACAAGATTCAAAAAATTTCTTTACTTTCTTAAACTCCTTGTCAAGTCAAAACCAAATTGAAACGGAAGGAGTGGTATTATAAAAGTGTTTCTTCTTTGTATCCATTAGTTATACATGTGCAGTGCAATTACTTGATTTCCGATAATGATTTCAGGATTAACCAAATTCATGGAAATCAATTCTTACAAACAACTGCTTTAGTTAGGTTATATTTGGAATGCTCAAGTGAATACCACATGTACTATTGTAAAAGTTGCACTTTACAGGGCGCAACAATACCCTCCAGCAATTAAGCAGTTATTACTACTGATGTACGCGCACAAACATTAAATATAAAATGCAAAACAAATCGAGACAGATAGTAGAAGAACTACAGTACGTTGGCATACCAAATACCAATTAATGACATAGAATAAGTTCATTCAAGATAGACTTTAACACTGTAAAAAGTTTCCATATATATATATATTAATTTATGAAGATTGGCTACAAGATGGCCATACCTCATATATGGGTTGGTTCTTCAAGGTACCACTACGTATTATTTACTGGCTCGCTCTACTAGAGGAACGGATTGCTGATACTTTATGCAATTTTATAAGAGAATAATGCATAATAATATCACTCTCTAGGACGCCATGGATTGATTGGAAAAGCAATAATACTATTTACAGTATCATCAGAACTATAAAATCTCCCACTCAGATTCAGGATGATCATTAGCAGACAACATTTTTGTGTTTGAATTCATGGCAAGAACAGGCATCACCTTGTCCTCCTCAGCCTCTAGGTTGAATTGTTGATCTCCATATAGTGCTCCAAGTTGTTCATACTCTTTCCTTGTCAACCTCTTTTTCGTGGAGAAAGCTTCCCGAAGCTTATTCTGAGAAAATATTGACAGAAACGGTCAACAAAGATCTAAAAGATGCATTTAAGTAAAGAACCAGAGCCCCCCTCTGCTCCTCCTAAAAAGCGGACTAAAGGAATAAATACAGGAAAGAAATATATATGAGAGAGAAAGATAGAGGACCAACCTTATAGGACTTCTTTTTGACAGGACCATGTGGAACATGAATCCTGTCCTCTTCAACCAGGACACATGTTTCATCCAACTGGGATTCATCAAATTTCTCAACAATTTCCAAATCAGACTCAGTGCTGTCATACTTGGACATAGCAGAAGACAAATTATCTGATTTTTCTGTAAGAAAGAACAGTGGTGTCATAGAGATAGAATTGAGAAAATTATAATCCAAGAGACAATGAAGTGATCTGAAAGGCAGGCACATGGTTTGTTTCACAAACATCCCTTTGATTCAATTTATCTCAAGTGAATAGGATAGGAGAAGGAAGACAACCTAAAGATCTACTAATTTTTCCTTGAACGAGCAAGTAACGTGGACGTGGAGTACATTTATTTGCTGGGATGGAGGAAGAGTGATGCAGATACTGTAGTTTTCTCTAAATTCCCAAGGAAACAAAAGGTGAAAGTGCAACTGTAGAACCTTATATTGACTAATAAAACATAAATGATACATAGACATACTGACTCCTAGCACTCTGGCGCACACATGAGCATCTGACCTCCTGCAGGTTCTCACGAATATGCACTGCAGAGGTATAACCAGTGTGAGCCTTACTGGATGAACTAACTTTTGATGGCTTTAACTCTTACAGTTGTGCCAATTTAGTACTATTAGACATTTCATCCAATATAACACAACATAAGGTCCACCGTGACTCATAGTTGCGATCCACTGTATATTTTCTGCTATAATAACATAATTTTGGGTAATTAATTATAACATCTGACGATTTACCATTTGGTATATAGTTTTCCTAGAAGTAACACTCAGCAGTCAGTCTTGAATCAGTGTTACACAACAAAATGGGAACAGAGAGAGAAGAGAGATCTATCAGCGTTACACAGCAAAATGGGAACAGAGAGAGAAGAGAGATCTTTCTCCAGTTTTAGTTATTAGAGTAGCTAGAATTAGTCAGTACCTTCATGGGACTCATTGATCTCCTCATTAGCTAAATTGTTCCGAACATTACTGCAAATTTCGTATCTTGTATTACATGCTAACTCCTTTGTACAAGTATCTGTTGCCAATATAGAAGTTATCACAGAGAGCAAATAAGAGAAGAAAACTGCAGACAGTATACCACTAGAGTTCGGTTAAAAAGCCACCAACTGAGATAGAGCTGGAACCTGTTTGTTTCTTCCCGACAGATTCAACAGACATCGTAACAGAAGCCTCAGAAGTAATTGAAGTATCAGCTGCAGACACATTAGTTTGAATAAAGTGATCGCGAACTTTACTTGCTGCTTCTCCAGAGTCAGATCCTTTAACTGAGGCCAGGGCTGAAGTCAGGGTCACATGATCAGATGCCATTTCAAAACCACCCCTAACCTCAGCACTTGAAGATAATTTTAGTGCATCCCCTGATGCAAGACAAATAGCATTAGGCTTCTTAGCTGGGTGGCTGTCTCTAACAATTTCTTTGATTCCCACATTTTGACGTTTATAGACTCCTCCACTTTTGCATTTCCCTGAGATCTCAAGAAAAAATGATCTTAGCAGATCTGTCTGACCAAAGAGATTAAATAGTAGTTGGTGAATAATCAGCATTTGCATTTTGTACCCTTGATCACTTGAGTGTCATCATTTAATTTGTTACTAAAACGTCTGGCACTTCCTTTAAGATTTGCTTTCAACTTCTTGTCAATTTCATAGTGAGCATAAGGGTTAAGAGACAAGTCAGCAGCTGCGACTTTCACAGGATCAATATTACATTGAGGATGAACATCTTGCATCACCTCAGAACAGAATCTCTTGACATTTGTACCAACAGTGTTCACCTGATTCTCAACATATTTAACAGTGTCCTGTAAATGGTCACAGTCTCAGTTATTCTGATTATAAACATTTGGTCGAAATTAGCAGGGTGGATAATACGCAGTACAATTTCAGAACCTTTTAACATATCCAGAGACGTTATTGATCAAAATTGACAGACCACTGTTAATGATGCATGGTGATATGCTGTCATTTGTTTCAATACCATGACGAGGATGTATGTCATCCTTCCTGGCAATCATAAATTACTTACTCTGGGTGGACACAAATACAACTTTTCATATAGGAAAAGAGAGAATCCATTTAATGAAAGATAAGATTGTAATAGCAGTAATGCTACCTCAGAAAAGCACTTCTTTGCCAGTCGAGGTAGAGCTAGACGTACAAAGCTATTATGCATCAATGAGTATTAGTAAGAATGGTTTTTGATGGTATAGTCCATCAAGATGTCTGCATTTGTGCCTATCACCCTTGAGTAAGTTCCAACATGTAATATTTCCAAACTGTTACAGAAAGTGTAACAACATAGAGGAAGGTAAGGGCAATGAAAGTATCAATCAGTCTTTTTACACTCTTCCTCCAATCAAACTCCACATCTATCAGCGAAAAGGTGCAACCAACCAAGTCATTGCGTATCCAAGTCACTGATTACCCATTGTGTATCCTGGAGAAAAAGAAGACCCAAGGAATAACCTAAATAGAAACATGCAGGATGCAATCTACTTGGGACCATACCTAGAGATCTGGGGCTGAACACTGGATGCAGAATAGGATTAGTTGAGTAATAGGACGGATTTCAGCTATAAGCAAATTAACTTAAGGAAATACCAGCAACAAATAGCAATAATAAAATAGGGAGTAGGGATATTCGAAAGAATGAAGTTCACCTGGTACATAGCCTCTTCCATCTCCAAACACATAGTTTCAAATTTTTGGTATATGTTTCCAACCCATGATATAGATTTCAAGTCCATTGGAGAATAGGTACTCAAGTTAGTTCCGCAAGATGTTATAGCTTCCCAGCTGCAAAAATTTCAGACAAGTCGTTGCATTGTTAAGATGGATTTTTTTATGAACTGCACAGAATTATAAAATTCTCTTGGGCCAAGTCAGAAACCAACTTCAATCTGTTTCAAAAACAATGAATTTGTTAAATCTAACATGACTAATTAATGTTGACTCGAAGGCCCTCTTTCTTAACGAGACACCAAATGTTATGTCAGCCAGATTCCATCTGGAAATAGTGAGACAGTGAAGTGTTGTAGTTTTAAATGTTTCCACATTAATTAGATATTGTCATTCAAGTTATCAAAAATACAAATCTCGATAAATCAATTGTATGCATACCAATTTCCTCCAAACAAACATTATGGGTAAAGAGGATTGAGCTAAATTCAGACAGCCAAATATTAGATTAAATAGTAAAATAAGATATAATTTGATCTACCTCAAATATCCCAGTCAGACACTAGGTTCTAATGGGAGGGTTTACGTCTTTTATATTTTGCATGCTGAACAAGAGACTAAGCGAACTGTTCAAAGTGGAGTAAAAATCGTTTTCCAAAACCCTGCTAGGGCTTCATGAAGTTGTGTAACCAAAGCATTTGCAAACTTATGCTCGAATTTCCTCACAGCCCTCTACTCTCGTAATTCTCACCTTAGTTCATGGATGCAAGACGGAGAATTTTTTTTAAGAGGATTAGGTCAAGGTGCACTGCAGTACTCCTACTCAATATACCAAGTCTTCTTGATATCAGGAGCAAACAAAATTTAAGGCACACAAGAAGCTTTTCAACAGAGATATATAAATTTTAGTGTCAACCTTACTTGCAAATGATTTCATATTAAATGTGTGACAAGGCCTCACCATTTTTCCCTTAAAGACAGATTTTTATCAGCTCTTTCTTCCAAGGAAAATCACAACCTTTCTCTCCACTAATATTTCTCCCCATGTTAAGTATGCAACACTTGAATTAGGTAAGAATTAGTAATAAGACCAGCTAAAATTGATTGTTCAGCCACTCAAAATTAGAATACCAATGAGCCACCCCACCTGAATCGCCAGGCAGAAAAAATCAAATTCCCGTGTGCTCATAGGATCAACTTTGCAATATTAGCAGATTTACATACATCATGCATTTGAATCACCACACAAGTAGAAATTATTCTAATAAAAAAAATCAACTATAGCAGATAGTTTAAACAGCATAATCCCCTTCATTCATTATATTCATTTTGTTCATCTGATAACAGAGACATGTTGAGATCATTATCCAGGGTAGGATGATCGACAAATTAACAGATTGACTGACATTGAGACATCTAAGGTCGAACATATGCAAATGTCTGAAAGGTCTAACCATCTAGTAGCATTTTGATAAGCTCACCTGTTAAGCATTTCCCACATTCCGACATTCAAACACTATGTCCATTGTTTCACAAATCCAACAGCAAACCAGACTCCTAAGACAACTAGAGAAGGGAACAGAAGGAACTTCTTATATAGTATACTGGTGAAGCCAATTGCATCCCAGGGGAATTAATCGAGGTGTGTAAACTGGTCCAGGTTACCACACAAAAACAAAATGCATCCAAGGGGTTCCTTATAAGAGTGGCTTTTCAATGTCTTAAGCATATAAAACTCAGAATTGTCCAAAGACATCTTTTTATCAAGAGAAGTGCTCTAAAAGACTAATATCATGTAATTAGTTGAACCTTATTGGCAATCTCATCTCTTGTTTTCTAGATTCCAAAGCCATTTTGGTCATCCAAAGTCAAGAAGGTCTAAGAGCTTCCTTATTAGCTAAACTAGGTTCATACCAAGTTTCCAAGAAAAGCTAAGAACACAATCACACACAAAAGAAAAGAAAGCAAGCTACTTCACCCAAACCCCACAATTTCACATAAGCAAAAAATCACAGCAAAGGCAAAAAAAAAACTATTTCTTTCCCAGAATTTCTTCACAGAAACACAAGAAAAAACCATTATTACCTTGATCAAGAAGCACAGCTCTACAAAGAATCAATCTTTACTATCTATACTACATATGTACACAAATAACAACAGAGATACAAAAAAGGTGGAGTCTTTATCAACAAAAAGTAAACAAAAATAAGAATACTCCTAGAAAGACAAAAAGGGGTTGTGTTAAACAAAGAAAAAATGATTTTTAAAGCTGAAGTAGAGGAACTTACTAAGTAGGAAGAATAGAAAAGGCAAACCCACCAAAGATTTTCAGCAAAATAGAAAAGAATCAAGCTTTATAAGATGGATTCTAAAGAAAAAGTAGAAAATACAATTGGGATACAGAGAAATGGAGTGGGTAAGATAGTTTTCTTGAATAGGAAAAATTCTGAAACGTATAGAAGTGTACAGACGCTGTTCACCTAGTTTTCCTCAAAATGGATTCTTGACACGTATGCAACAAAATAGAGTTAAATATGAGTATATTCTATCCTTATCGGAGCTTGACTAGTCTTAATTTGTGCCTTGTATGATCCGATAGAGGGAAAGCCGCTTCCTACGAAATATTTTTTTCATATTCAAAGTTCGAATTTGAGATCTCTTCTTATATTATATTAAACAAATATAATGTTCTCGAAAAGAAATATTTAAGTAAATTTTGACATATTGATAATCACATCAAAATCAAAATTCGAATAGTTTAAAAAACTGAAGAAAAAAAATGCATAGAATTGTTAATACTGTCAAACATTTTGAGACATAAAATAGAAATAGTGGAAGGAGAAAAAAATTCCTTTTATATATCTTTATTTAATATACTTTTTTTTTAAAATCATCCTAACAATTAATTCAATTCATTTTTTGTATTTTCTTTTTGAGCAACTTTCACATATAGCAAACACAAAATTCATATTTGTATGATATAGCAAAGTTTGCATAATTGCGCTCCATAACAAACATAAATATGTATATTTCGCTATACATATACAAAAGAAAGTAGTTGTATAATCTGCTTTGGTATACATATACAAAAAGATCAATTGTATAAAGTGAGAGAGGCGAGTGAGCGAGCGAGATCTGGGAGAGGGGAGAGAGGGGAACGAAAATATATGTATATATACAATTTTCACGCATTTTATACATTTGCGTTTTTGTATAAAGTGAGAGAGCGAGATCTGGGAGTGTGGCGAGCGAGATCTGGGAGAGGGGAACGAAAATATATGTATATATACAATTTTCTCTCACTTTATACAAACACAAACGCATTTTATACAATTTGCGTTTTTTGTATAAAGTGAGAGAGCGAGATCTGGGAGAGTGGCGAGCGAGATCTGGGAGAGGGGAACAAAAATATATGTATATATACAATTTTCTCTCGCTTTATACAAACACAAATGCACTTTATACACTTGCGTTTGTATAAAAAAGAGAGAGGTGAGGGAGAGAACAAGAGTGGCGAGCGAGATTCACCAGGAGAGAGGTGAAATAGCAATAGTTTGCTATGAGGTACAATTAAATCAAACTATATTTATAACATTTAATTTGAATTAATAGTTTGCTATTATATACAATTTTTCCTTTTTTTTCATCCTCCAATTTAAAAAGAATAGAATATACGTGAATCTTATTCAAAAGGTTATTTTCGAGAGATATTCGATTCAAAGTCTAAAATAGAAAAATTATAAACAAAGTTTATGCCTTTTCTATTTGTGGCTATATCACCCTTATCATCAATTCATCATTAGCTAAAGAAGGGGTGATAAGTATTCTAAGGATAAGAATACAAGCAATCATGAAATTGAGAGGAAAAATAATAATTTTATTTTCTTGAAAATGATATCAAACATATTTTCTTATTAAAGTAATTATTCCTTTCCTGAAAAAAATAATTATTTGGAAATTGGTGTGCAAGAATTAGTCTTAAAAGGGCACTTGGAAATCAACTGAGTAATATAGAAAATCCACTTGCTCAAAAGTCAACTGGACCCCAAAAGAAAATATTTTTATAACAGTTATTTTTTATACAGTAACATTTAATAAGGAAAAAAAAAATGTCTTGATACTATGAATTTAAATAAATAGTACTCATAGATAGGATTGTTGGTGAAACCAAACACGGGATAATTCTAATATAATAAAGTTGAATCCGTTTACAAAATAAAAAATGAGTTCATCAATCATTAACGAGTGCAGTGGAATGATAAACTTTTTTTTACCTTTAATAGGTAATTAGTAGATCGTTTCGACTATCATTTTATTTTGTTGTGGTTACTCTATTTATGCTATTATTTGATATTTATTGTGCTTCAGCTATTATTTATATTTTGTTGTGGTTATTGTTCCTTTCATCTGTATGCTTTAGAATGTTCCCCTATTCATTACTTATATTTTCTCCTTTTAAATCTGTTTTGAGGCGTGTTACTTGCGTCGAGGGTCTTTTGAAAACAGATTTTCTACCTCCACTAGGTAGGAGTAAGATCTATGTACACTCTACCCTCCACAGATTCCACCTATTACGGTGTGAATTTTGATTAGTCAGCCAATAAATTTTCAGACATCACTTTGGTTAATATAAAAAATGAGTTCATTGGCAAACAATCAATTGAATTTAGCAGAGAACTTGTATCTCCCACCAGATAAAAATTTTGCTTTGAAGAAATTGAAAGATTCTTTAGGCAAGTAGGTGTATAGGCAAGGCAATAAAGATATGGAATGAAAACTATAATACACATCATATGTACCAAAGACTTTCAACAACAGTATCTAGTGTGAACTTTGAACTTTAGTTTTCCAATTGTACTGAGTTTCCAACAAAACATCATCCAGCTGCTTGAAAATCTCCAAAGTCATCATCTGCAACATCTTGTGGACCTTGCTCTTTAACTGATTCTGATTTATCTGGTTCCTCTTTCGCTGTTGCTGAGTCCTTCGTTTCAGCAGATTGCTCGAGACTCAATTTAGACGGTGATACTGGGGGAGACCTTGCATCAGTAGCAACAGGTGAAAGTGGTGCGGGAGGAGGTGGTGGTGGCTTGAGTAATATTGTTGAATCTTTTCGGTTGGCCTTTTCCTCCAATGATAGATTATTTAGACCCTGCTCGAAGAACTTGGACCTTATGGTGCCACCAGGTTTCTGTTGCCCGGATAGAAAAAAAAACACGGTTATTGGATGACAGAGCAACATTACTACAGGTCAATATATTAAGACAGGATTTATGGAGACTAACATTCTTTATCTGAAGTTTCAGGGTTTCCCCCTCTTTCAAACTGTAGTCGACTGATGAGGATTTCTGGTATTGCTGCTCCATCTCTTCTGCAGTTTTCTTCTTATTCAGGTATCTGTTTAGAATATTTTGAATCAGATCAAGAAAAACAAACAATTGAACATAAAACATAAAGGAGCATCTCAAATGAGTTTAACGCCCCTTCCTACCAATCCTAACATTTCGACCTACAGGAAACCAAACCCTCCCCATCCAATTGACACTCCTTTGCTGGAAAATTACACTGTGTAACTAGGTAATAAAAATGTTCTTTCTATGTATAACTATATGTTGAATCCCTTTGGTTTCTTCATGTGTTTTACTTTATATTTTGACTACCTTTACAGTGAAAATTCTGCTACGTCACAGTCCGGGCCAAAAAGAAAAGGCAAGCATACAGCTATTAAAAAAAGGACAGAATGCAAAGAGAAAGGCAAAATTGAACATGTAAGGTGATGCAAGAAAGCAAGATACTTCTGATGGTCGTGAAGAGCAGCTTGGAAGTCATAGGCTTCAGGTCTTTCTCGAAATCCAATGCCAATAAAAGCATGTCTGAGGCGTCCACCTGTACAAGTAACACATATTGAAGTAAACGGTGAGAATCTACCAGTTCAAGAAGAATGTTGGTTTTAAGTTAGCTGGTCTCAAGGAACACTAATAGTAGAGTTGCAAGCATTATGAATAATGGTTTGACAGCATGGTTGAAAACCAAGGGATGCAATTCCAAATAGCATTATACATTAACATATCCTACCATGTAAAGTTCAGTGATGGACTTAATGGTGTTACTGCAGTAATGAAGTGAACATCAAAGCAGTTCCAAGTTTAGACAGGATAGAATCTTAATACATTAGAAGGTACAAAAGCAGAGGAAGAGAAAAAATTCCAGCCAAAACTACATGAAGTCTAACAAAGAAAAACCACACAAATTTGAGGTTCTATAATGCCTACGAGACAGGTTATAGTATGTAACAGATGCTATGATTGGAAAACCAGAACAAGAAACTTCTTATTATTAACCTCAACTGCTCATAGGTTTACACTTGAGATATGTCTAACCTCGAGTGAAATTGGTATAACCTGATATGCATATATAAGGTGACACAAAAGAGAAAAATTGTTTGGGACCCATAAAGATCTTGTATCTTTAGTGTGTTAAGCTAATAATGGATACTAACTAGAAGCCTACGCTAAAACGATCAGAAACTTTGTTACATCTTTTACAACCTCCCTCAGCAAATCTGTTTCACATGCATGTGTGTGCAGGCATGAATTATTTCTATATCGACCAAAGGTAGAATTATATGATGGATTTCCTGTTCTACTAGAACAAATTAGATTAGAGCTAAACATTAAACAGAAGTAAATGGTGGCTAAGTAGATACCAATGTTCTCTTCAATCCGAAGAACAAAGTATCTGCAAGAGAAGAATATAAACAGTTAGTACTAGAGCAGCTAATATTAATTTGAATTTGTAAATCAACAAACTGTAATAAACTGTTAAAATCTGGTAGAGAAGTCTATGATGCCGTTAGAGTACTTATAAAGCAGAAAAACAGTGTCAAAAGGAGGTGAATCATTTTGATTACAAACTATATAAACCTGCTACTATCGATTACAGCCTCCACTGGATGTGGTTCCCCATCTCTGAGAAATGCACGTGCATACAATTCACCTACATTGAATAAAGTGGTAATAAAGGAGATCACAAGTCAACATATGCAAATCTTAATCATCTCATCTTCACAATTAGTTGGAGAATATTTGCTTTTTGCCCTCTCTTTTTTTCTCTTTGGTAATAAAATGCTTACTTTTTAAAAAAAAATTGGTAGGAGAATAAACTGAAATGTTATGGGGCTATAAAGATTATCAAATCGTTAGCACCTCATAAAAGAATGCTTCCTAGAGTAGCTTTTAATAAGAATAAGAGAAACTCTATTATAGCCATTTTTTT